CTGGCTGTGAAAAACTGTGGGGACACTGACCATCTGGGTGGGACAGAAGGCTGCGGGTAACCCAGACATCCCTTTAAAGGGCCCACACACAGACTTGCTCACAGGCAGTCATCCTGGGCTCCAGTGGAGGTAAAGTGACTTGAAAGGAGTCAGAGACATAAAAAGAGACTGAGTTGTGTGGCTGTGGGCTGAGGACTGGAGGGACAGTCGCCATTTTCCCTATATAGAATCCTCCTCCCATGCAGCTGGCAGGTGGGTGCCATGTTTCCTATGTTGAGCCCTCCCCCATAGGGCCAAATCTGAATCTGCATTGGCCTGGTGAGCTCCGCTCAGTTCTACCTGGTGACTGCCTGAGAACCCACCTCACCCATCTCACATACCACATGAGGCTCTGTTAGCAGCCGAGCCATCTGGGAGCTGGGAGACAGCAGCAGGCTTTGGGGTGTCCTGGGGTTTTGCGGAGCTGCCCCAGGACCAGAACTGGTGGCAGCCCTCCTCAATTCATAGCATGGCATCTCCCAAGTGCCTACAGGTCCAGCACTGGGAAAGACCAACTGGGGATTGCTTTGTAGCTCCTACCAAGTAGTCTCCAGCTGGTCACATGCAGTGGCTGACGTGGGTCTATAATGAAGCCTCACCCAAGAGGCCCCAGAACCAACATACATGAAGGTCAATTTCAGAGCACAGAAGCACAACACCCAATTAGCCACAATTAGCCTCAAAGGGTGGTCTCAACAGGCACCAGAGCCCACTGGTAAGGACCCCTGCACAGCCCAAAGCAGTGGATGTGGCAAAACCCCATAGCCAGTCAGCCTGAGGTTCAATCCCACCCACTGATGTACCAAAAGTAATCAAGGCTCAACTGTAACAGGAGGGTACACACAGCCCACACAAATAATACTCCTGGAGAATCTGTCACATGTGACCAGGGAAACTGGGCCCCACAAGGCACCAACTACATAAGGCCACCCGGCCAGGCTGCGGAGACGTAGATCTACCTAATACATAGAAAAAAACACAAGAGAGGCAGCCAAAATGAAGAAACAAAGAAATATGTCCCAAATACAAGAACAGGAGAAAACTCCATAAAAAAAACTAACCGAAATGGAGGAAAGCATTCTACCAGATGCAGAGTCCAAAACAATGGTTATAAGGATGCTCGGTGAACTTAGTGGAATAATAGATGAACTCAGTGAGAACTTCAACAAAGAAACAGGAAGTACAAAAAAAGGACAAAAATTCATAAAAAAGAATCAGAAATGAT